AAATCTATAAAAATAATGGTCTGTTATTAATATTAATATTTACTGAACAGGAACGTTTTAAGTGCTCTTTTAAAAATTGAGGTGGTGTTAGACTTTCGAATTTTATAGGGTATTAAGTTCCATTCTCTTGGTGCCTGAACAGCGAATGCTCTGTCTCTGTAGGTCTCAGTATACGATCTAGGTTGCATTAAAAGTTCATTACTAACAGACCTTTCATAACGGCCACGCCCTTCCCTGCACTTATAGTGCTACTGTGATTGTAGACCCTCAAAGGACTTTCAGCTCTGGTTTGCCTCATTTCGTTCAATAGGAAGTTCTTTATGATAGTCACTTGTTCGTTAATGGATCAAAGATTGAAGAATCGGGTTTAGCTACAATTATCCCGGACTTACGGCGGATGTGCTTAGGGAGGTAAGAGTTAGAAAATTTATTTTATGCTAGTCATTTGTTCTCTGTTTTTTAGCGTCGTGTTCATAATGTACATAATTCTCTCTCTCTGAGGTTGACATCTGGCGAGTGTACTTGAAGGGGTGAAGAAATTGCGCCAATCCGGGGAAAATCATGGTGTACAGTTCTATCGCTAAATGTCAGTCCTTGAGGGAGGTTTGGCCGAGGTTTGTCAATTAAATGTCAATTATGTGCGAATTGTGAGCGAATTATGTGGTACCGCGGTAATGGTGAATCGTGTTACCTCAGAAGCGCGTTATCCAGTGAACGAATACTACCATACAATCAACAAATGTATCGAGAAACGCTAACCCCGAGCAAATGCAATCTAGACGAGAATGCTTACCGCAAAAAGATACACAGAGAAATGCTAACTGAAAACAATCCAGCGTTAGCAATTATGTACAGCGGTTTTTCGGAGACACTTGATTTATAAAGCCAATATCCAGGCGTTCAGGGACAATCAAGCCCCGATTTCTTTCGATAACATGTGACCTTTAACCCATTGCTGCGTGTCAGTTCTATTTGAGTGTTCACTTAACATAATTTTTCTTTGTAGGTTCTTGATGATTATGTTGAAACAGGGTTATTTCCACCTTCACTGGTCCATGCAAGATAATGGCGACATGATGGCGATTCGCTAAATTAAATAATTCCTCTTGTGACTTTTGATCATCCAGAGGGAAAGCGATTAATCTGGATCCCAATAATCTCGCCAAGGAATCTGATGTTGATGTGAACTAATAACTTAAGGTTCTTCCCCCTAGCGGCAAATCTTCTTTTGCCGGGATGTTTCGATAATTCAGTGATGGATCTAGGGTAGGGGCCCGGGCCCCCCCTCGCTATTTTGAGTTAAAAAAAATAGAATCGCAGAAGGAAGAAAAGCCGGCAGGGAAAGCGACAAAAAACTCAAGGTCTGGATCCGCCAATGTAATTTACTCATCAAATATACTAAAATGACCACAACCTGTAGAAATCTGGTTCGAGATAACTTGTGTAAGGCATGTAGCTTTTTGAGACACGTGTAAGGCACGTAGCTTTTGAAATAAATGCCGTTCTAGGTATCGGGACAAGAAAGGGCGAGGGATACAGTGGTACCCCTAGAGAGCTTGTTACACAGTCCAGCAATATCTGAAACAAAAACAAAACATAACGGACTAAAGGCAGGTTCGGGTG